ATTTATGTAATAGATATATGTATATGTATATAAAAATATTGTAAGGTTTCGAAAGTGTTTAAAAACTCTTTAATTTTTTTAGTGTTTTGTCTACAGTTACCGAAAAAAATTGACATTTCACTGAATGAATGCCTGTGAAGTGAAAATTAAACTTAAATGTCGGAATGAAAACTAATAATTATAAGAATTAATAAGTAGCTACCTATTCATAATGAAATGAGTGAAGTTTACAACTAAGTTTCTCTAAAATTAGAAATGAAGTCTAATAATTACCTTCGAATTGAAGAATTCCTAAAGCTGATTTTATTGAAACAATATCGCGTTAATTATCACTGGATTCACAGCAATAAATTCCGTTTGCTATTTGTACCAGTTGAACAGAATAAATTAAAAGGACCCCAGTGGCAGGAACATGTATATAAATGTTACATTCATGAATATTTAATTCATTTTATAATGGAAAACGAATTTCTCTTTCTTTTTCACAGACGCTCATCAATCAAAACCAAATTTCGAGTAGCTGCCATTGTAGTTGCTGCATTCAATTAAAAAGCATTCGAAAGCATATTTACCAGAAGCCTATATGATTTAGTAGCCGATGAAATAATACTAATTATTATTTCATAAACCCCTACTGGCATACGTCAATATTTGTATTACACATTTGATTCTTTCAGTACATTTAATTTGGATGTTTCGTAACTAAATTTGTTTGTTTGTTTAATACTATTAATAAAAATTGTGTTTCAACTGTGATAAATTTTCTTGGTAAATAATTAGCATTTATTTCATTTTAGTCTCTCTGAAAATCATAAGGCTATTAAGTGTAGCTTTTATTATAAAAGAGACAGGCTAATTTACTTTACACAAAACAAAACCTAGTAAAATAATTCTGAACTCCCTTATACAAGCTATATAACGTTTTCAACTCAAAGGATAACGCAATTACAGACCCATATTAACAAAAAATATGAAGGCGCAACCCTCAAATTTATCATTTATTATTTATTATTCGGAAAACATGGTTTCAGCTTTCACCGATCCATCACAAAAATAAGTTTTAACTTCTTAACGATTTTAGGTGATACATATTGAAATTCTATTTTAATACACTAAAACTGACAACACATCCTATCCGTCAAAAATTTGCTTCGTTACTCTACATTGGCCAACCAAGAAGGTTCGTTAAATTACGTTTAGTGAACACCTGCAGTGTTTTAACCTACGAAAAATGATCTGCAGGGGACATCTATTCACCAAGGAGCATTAAGTAACAATTTAAAATCATAAGCACATCAAATAAGGGTTCAAATCTTAATTTATCCCAAAATATGTTTATAAACAAACAGCTACAATCTTCTTTTATTAGATATATAAAAATTTTAAATATCTATCTATCGCTACCAATAAGATTGTACTTTAAAAGCTATACCTATATTCACAATATTTATTTTGAAATGTCGTTTTTTTTATATTCTGAAGTTATTAAACATTAACTATTGGAAATACTATATGATATTGTTCTTGAATGAATTGAATAGATTACTTGAAAATCCCAAAAATCTTTTCTTTACAGAAATGGACGTGAAATCAATCCGATCCTAAAGGAATTTGCCATAGTTCAGGATATATTTGACCTCTTGTTGACATGTTTACATTACCTAATACTTTCAATTCTCTGTGTTTGTTCTCACCCGATACCGACCGGAAACATTGACATATCAATAAATCGACCAATGTGTTTTTTCCTAAACTTATCAAATTTCCTTATTCCATTGTCTATTTTAATTCTCTAACAAGGGCTTAGGTTCTTCCCTATAATTTCTACAGTATTAAAGAAGAAAAATCACCCTAACGCAAATTTGTCCTTCGATATGAACCGTCAGGCTTCTTGAGGTGGAAAAATTATTTTGATTTTATTTTATTTTTGAAACTGTTACGTTTTCACTTCTATTAAAAAGTTTTAAATCTCCAAATTCAAATTCAAAACAAATTTTTCAAAAACTACGTAAGTACATTAAGAGAAAGGTAAGAAAGTTCGACTGTTAAAGAGTTTTAGTAGCAAAGGGCCAAATCTTTGTTGAAATTTTCAAGTAGCTTAATTCAAATCAATAATGCAAATCTCATGTTTCAAAAACTTCAGCATTCTTTGATAAGTAGGTACGCCATTGATTTCGTAATTTAAAGGTGTTTCTGTTCTGTTTTTGATGAAATACTAGGAAGGATACGTAAAGGGAGACAAGCCATTGGGGCACTAAATTCGGTATTATGGGCAAAAAATCGGTTGTCTGTAAAGTCGGTTTACTGACGATACGTCATAAGAAAATACTGATGGAAGGGTTTCATTTTTCAAAAGAAAATTTTAATTTTATTTGTTTGATAGATATTTTGTGTGGATATAGAGAAGGAGGTAAATGGAAATCACAATTGAATTGATCAAGTTACATTTATTTGTACGCATAAATACAATTATGTCAATTTTTATTTATTTTTTTTCCAATGTACATAGTTTTTACAAGTATGAATGTGCTTTGAGCAATTGTTTTACAACTTTTATTTACAACTTTTAAACATCATTAAAATTTTTGTAACTCTAGCTTCAATTCGACAATATATCACTGAACATATATTTAATATCGAAAGAATCATTACCTTTATCGCCGCAATTATCGTTGCTATAAACAATTGACACCACATTCACTTTTCACTGCACTTCATACTTGACGAAAACA